TTCCTTTTTTTTATTTTTTCCATTCAAAAATTTACACTTCCTCGCCTCCCCTCCTCCCATTAACCTCCCGCTCCCCCCCCCCCACTCATCCTCCTTCCTTCCCCCTCCCTCCTTAAGAGAGGGCAGGGAACCCTGCCCTGTGGGAAGTCCAAGGCCCTACATCCAGGCCTAGGAAGCTTTGCATCCAAATAGACTAGGGTCCCAAAAATCCAGTACATGCAGCAGAAACAAGTCCCAGTGCCTTTATCTTTTTCGTTTTTCTTTCTAGTTCTTGAGATAGGTAGGGTCCCACTACGTAGCCGAGTCTGGCCGTGAACTCCCAATCCTCCTGCTCTACCTCCTGAGTACTCGAACGGCAGCTGTGTACCACCACACCTGGCTAAAATCAGCGTGCTTCTTACAGAGCTGGGAGGAAGAGCCATGTAAAGTTCCGGTGGAGGTGGATGCCTACCATCCCTTCCACAGACGCTTACTGCAGCTCTACCCTCTGTGCTTCTGAGGGGCTCAGACGAAAGAAGAACTGAGGTGAATATTTTCTGAAGAATCATCCACTTTTAAAGCTGCCCCCTTTGAATTGGCAAGGCGCAGGGCCAAGTTCTGGGGGTCTGTGATATGTGGGAAGAAGTCCATGTCACACACCAGAAATGTCTAGAATACGAAGGGTGTCTAAGTCTGGCACTCTGGGTTCCTGGGTAGCTGGGATGTTGGTTGAGTGTCAACCAAACCTTGTAGACTTGAGTGGGGAGCCTTAAAAGAGACAGAAAAGACCTTCCATCCCAATCCTTGCATTCCCATTTTACAGCAGGCTAAGTATGGCCCTGTGCCTTGTATGAATTACAGTTCATTGGCCATACTTCCAAGAGTTTTATCTAGGAAAGAATTCCAAAGTAACATCTTGGCTGAAAGGAGAGGATGTAAGGATTAATTAACAATGTCTACCATGAGTACTGGATGAGGTAGGAAGGCTGGTTTGCTATGGAGGATTAGACAACAGCATACAGAGTAAGATCTTCTATTGTTCTGGACAGAGACTTTGGGAGGAAAATCCTATTTTGTTTTCTGTCAGTTTTTTGCTATCACAGGAGTTTTCTATACTAGCAGATTATGGCAGCACTTGATGAGACCTAGGAGTAAATAGGACAGACACTCAGGCTCTGACCTGGCCACAGACATCAGTTTGCACCTGGAGAAATGCATGACACTGCATCCTGGTGTGTCCAGCATCACCATGTTTAGCTGCAGATCTCTGTCCAGCACCTACATGTGTCAGGTAGTGCCCAGGAGGCTGTGTTCTTCAGCTTGGTGAACAAGAGAGACAAGAATTCTCATCTCAGGGCTTATATTCTTGGAAGAATGCTGTTGACCCTTGTTTCAGGCTAGGTTCTACCTATTTCAGCAATGGGAACTGAACTCAATGTCCTGTTTAGACTAGTTAAGTACTCTTTTCATAAGCTATAGACTAACCTCCTTAGTCACTAATAATGGTTTATGGGGGAGGGAGCAGTTCCAACCACTGGGATGTTGTTCCACAACCTATGGGAGTAGCTTTTCTCCTTGCCCACACACTCCTGCCAGACTGTGACTAACCCGTCAGTGCATCCCATAGCCCAATTGTCCATTTCTACCTCTGAATGCCTCATTAGTGGGAACTGGCACTTCCAGTTTCTTCCCTGTGATGTGTCAGTGTGACCCACATAGACAAAGCAAGGGAGTCTCTTCAAATTTGGCGAGAACTGCACAGCCAAGTCCCCCCTCTGTGCTCACACCTGCCCTATGGCGCTGCTTCTAGAACTCACGCTCTTTGCTCTCAGGGTTGGTGGCTCTATCCAAGTATTTGGCCAGTTCTTCAGACTTGTATCCATCCCCCTGATTGCAATAGTCTGTACTGCAGCTGGATGAAAGTTCAGCCTTATCAGACTAGACCCTTTAAGTGGTTTCCTTTGGGGAAGGAGTAGAGCAGCTGAATCTCTGCTTGGACTCCTAAAACTTAGACACCAATTCAGCCTCAGCATCAGGTCAGATGCTGTATCACTGGGTACCACTCCCAATCTTTCTACACCAAGTGCAAAGTGAGAAAAGTAAGAAAGGGGGAGACAGAGTGATAGCAACCAATTCACATAGCCCTCAACCGCCATCCATGTGGGGCATCCCCAGCGGCCTATTGGTATCATAGGACCGTCAAAGATAACTCACCATCCTTCCTAATAACTGCTGCTTGTCAGGTTTGGGAAGTACCCTGTTCAACCCTATTAGTGGTGGACATCTGTGTATTTATTTGAATTATTGGACATTCTACTTGTGACAAATACCCAGAACAAGGGAGTCATTCATAGCCCTCATGGAGCAATGCTTTGCACTAACTGCTGCCTATCACACTTTCAGTGTCTTTGGTGATATTACCAAATAAATGCTGCTCCTTAACTATTCACTTTTATTGCCATTATCACTGTCACAAGGAACGTCTAACTCATTCACGCTGCACTTCTGGCTGTAGATGACGTTCCTCAGACTGTCCTGACATCTACACTGCCTGTCTGAACCAACTTCGTAGGACCACAGCAGTTCATGCATGGATGCTCAAGAGATTTCTCCACTCAGACAGCAAACACTGACTATCCTGGGGTGCATATGAACATGCCAGGTATATGACTGAGCAACCTTGAAGAGCAATGCCTCGGTGGGAATCTTGCGTATGGGACAAACAAGTCATTGGGCAGTGGCAGCAGTGTGAGAGCTCCGAGAGAAACAGCGAGAATGTTGGGAGTTGAAGTGTATGATTAGCCTGATCCAGGCTCAAAGGGTAGAGGTGGGCTGCGAAGCGCACGCTAAAGAGAAGACATGAGCCCTGGGTGAGATTGGGAGTGGCACCAAGTTGCCCAACAGGTCTTGTGGAGGAAACAGAACCCATGTGACTCAAAATCAGGAAGTCAGAGGGAGACTGGATTTCTAGGAACTGCAGGAAACTTGGTCCAGCCTGTGCCCGTAGGGAGAAGTGAGAGGAGATAATCCTGGGGAACCGCCTGCAGAATTTGGACATCACCTGGAGGTGAATTTCCTTCCAGAACCCCTCTACAGGGCTGTCTTGGGTGGTCAGTGCTTCAAATGTCAATAACAAGATTCTGCCTTCTAGAAAACACCCCATCCCCATATCCAATTATCCGGCAAATAGAGCCAAAGGGAGCACTTTGGCCTTCTTATCCTAGCCATAAAATCAGGATCTTGGTTGCCTGATGCTAATAAAACCTTTGCTGGCTGCAAAGGTATTTTAATTAAAAAAAAAAAAATCAAGCGACTTTTCCAGCCTAACTAAAGCTCAGTTACTCAACCTCTAAAGCAAGTAACAAGGAAGGCTAAGAGCAAATGCCATACCTATGACTCCGGGGGCTTCTGGTTCAATTCTGGGTGAGTGTTAGTAGTGTTTCTAGCTGCCAGGTGAGCCCTGGGTATTTAGAGCTGAGAACCTGCAGAGTGCAATGCCTGGCAGAAGGAGTTCTGGAGAAGAATGGGCCCCCTTTCTGTACCCCTCAAGCCCTATAAATTCCCACGCCACCCCTTCTTCCAGATGCTAAGCTGCAGCCTGTAGGCGCTACTGAGGCCTCCTGAGGGGCTCTTACCCACTGCTTACAGAGGTATGGTCACACTGTTCAAACAGCTGCACAGCAAGGGCTAGCTCACCTACCCCCTAGTACTTATAAGCAACTTCTGGCTCTGTGATAGTTTTAATGAGAACGGCCCCCCTAGGCTCATATATGTGAATGTTAGGGTCCCTGCTGGTGGACTGTTTAGAAAGGATTAAGGGGTGTGGCCCTGTTGGAGGAGGTGTGTCACTGGGGGTGGGCTTTGAGCTTTCACTCCAGGCCCAAGCTCATTCTTTCTCTTTCTCTGCCTGCTGTCTGTGAATCAGGTGTGAGCTCTTAGCTACTACTCAGGCTAAGCCGTCTGCCTAATTGCCATGATTCCCACCATGATGGTCATGGACTAACCCTCTGAAACTGTAAGCTAGTCGCCCCCCTTTCCCAATGCTTTTTTTTTTTTACAATGTGCCTTGGTCCCTACATCTCTTCACAGCAAAAGAACAGTAACAAAGACAGACTCTATGAGCTATCTTTACAGGGCTGTAAAGCATTATTGAAGACTCCTCCCCCACTTACCTGGAAATTCCAAGCTGGCCTCATTAGCACATTACTTCCGCTCACCCAGTCCCACACATCGCCTTCCTCCCGGTTCCCACCTCCGCATCTCCCTGAACGCCGTCTTTGCCATGTAGCTGCTGCAGTTAGGTTGTATGCCTTGTCCCTGAAATGCGCCACTTGGAATGAATATGCAGCTGGTTTGCTATTTAAAGGCAAGTAGCTCTGGGCTCTGTGGTCCCTCCCTGTCACCCCACTCCCTATCATCCTCCTCATCCATCAGAGGCACCAAGTGACAAGCTCTCTTGGGGCTTCCCAGGGTGCTGCCCTGGACCGTTCCTTCCATACTGAGACAGCAAATCGTTGGCTGGGGTGGTGGATTGTTTCCCACAGCGATTAGCAGTTGCCCTGGTGTTAATTTCCAATCAATAGCCTGCCATGCTCGACTCCAAGCTGTCCGCTGGAGGCCTCTACAGCGCATTTTGAAAGTAACTTGCCAGGAGGTAGGACTCTGGCCCTGGCTCCTCCAAAAGCCCTCACCAAGCATTTTAGGAACACCAAATACCCCCTCACCACTGCCAGGGGCCAAGGGACTGAGGGACCAGGCAGGTGGCTCTAGACACCTTTTGCAGTCTGATGACAGATTGGGGACACAGGTGGAACCGCCTCTCCTCAAGAGTGGTGGCCCTTTGAATATTCATGAAGCTCTCAATTTCCAATTTTGGCTTTTTTTTTTTTGAAACTTTCTGCTGTTTGAGGTGGCTGTATCTTTTCTTCCATTAAAACCCCTCATTTAAATGTCTCTCTCTCACTCTCGTGTAAATCAAATTGCCTTGGTTTCTCATTTTTTGACTATGTCGCTTCCTCTAGCCCCCTGTGGACAGAATGAGACCCGAGAAGATGGCAAGACAATCCAGCTACCTCCATGCAAGACAGGAGCATGGATTGTGCCGGCCATCATGGCCTGCTATCTCCTGGTGGCAAACATCCTTCTGGTCAACCTCCTTATTGCTGTCTTCAAGTGAGTGGCCATTCTTGAGGCAGACAGGTGGATGGATGGGCAGCATGGATGGAGGGAGCTGATATTTCAAAAAGTAATGATTTTGTTTTTGTCTTGTGACTGACTCTCTGATCTGTTTCAGCAATACATTTTTTGAGGTAAAGTCGATATCCAACCAAGTATGGAAATTTCAGAGGTACCAACTCATCATGACGTTCCACGAGAGGCCGGTTCTGCCCCCACCGCTCATCATCTTCAGCCACATGACCATGATATTCCAACATGTGTGTTGCCGGTGGAGGAAACACGAGAGTGACCCAGATGAAAGAGACTACGGCCTGAGTGAGCGGCAAGCTGGCACCTGCAGCTGGAAGTTCCCAGCAGTTCCCATAGGCAGTCAGGCAGGATCCATGACCTGCTTGGTTCTCCTGCCTGATTTCTCCTGCCTCCTGCCTATTTAGGGGAGTGGGAATGGGACCTACTCGATGAGATACATGACAGAAGGAAGACGGCATAGTCTGAGCAGAAGTCACAATTCTTAGCCACTTCTTACTAAGAAAAAAAACCACTCTCCAATCGAGTTAGCCACCTTCATACACTCTTGCTTTCCAAAGATCCCATAGCAAATCAGCCACATTGCTCTGCACCAAGTGTTATATTAGATAGCATTTTTAAACAGTATGGCCTGAGTTTTATTCCTCCGTATTCATTTCTGGGACTGTCACTATCCCAGCTCTTAAATGTTTTCTCCACCTTCAGCATTGTTCCTATATGATTTTGTGGAGACAACAAACCTTACTTTCGAAGGACAGACCAATAGCCTCTCCACCACCCAGCACCTACCACCCACCTCTAGCCTGGCGTTTCTGAAGGGAAGTTTGGATGGCATTTGGGCTGGAAGAGTTCCTCACTGTGTAAGAATGTGTGACACATTGCAGGAGACTTAACATCTCCATCTCTGCATATTAAGTACCAGTGGCTCCTGCAGGCTCCTAAATGCCCCTGGGCACCAACTCTCAGGAGCCACTGGAGATGCAATGACTTATAAACAATCTGCTGTGCTTTTTCCAAATGGGTTAAGTCTACATCTACATTAAATCCACAAGCAAGCGCCTCTAGCATGATGGTCCAGGAATCTACCTCCATCCGTGGGATACCAATACACCATGGTTTAAAACCAGAGCCCGTTAGTGAACTGTTTCTCTAAGCCTAGAGCTCTTAGTGAGCTCCCTAACAAAGCAATGCCAAACTTCTTTCTAGATATTCAAACCAGACAGTCAGAAAAACCTGGCAATTCCATTTCCATTCCCTTCCGAAATACAAGTTTAGGCAAACAGAAAGCTGGGGTGCTCGAAACATGCCATCATGGGCAAATGCTAGGCAAGGAACGTTTTAAGAATATTGCGCTGGAGTCTGGGTGGGAGAGAAGAGGAGGGAGGGGAAAATAGTCAGGATGTAAAATGAATTAATTATAATAATAAATAATATTGTGCTGGGGGTCACCTCAGGGCTCCAAGTCAATTTCAATAAAGCATGAACACTTGTGGAAGGAAATTCTGCTTAGTGAGCGAGCACAAGATGATTTGGAGATACCGTACCTGAAAGAGAACTGTGTGAGGGATTTTCATCATCATTGGCACCAAATACCTAACAAAAGAACCTTAAAGGAGAGGCTTACTTTCTTTTTTTCTTCTTCTTCTTCTTCTTTTTTTTTTTTTTTTTTTTTTTTTTTTGATTTTTGAGACAAGGTTTCTCCGTAGCTTTTGGTTCCTGTCCTGGAACTAACTCTTGTAGACCAGGCTGGCCTCGAACTCACAGAGATCCGCCTGCCTTTGCCTCCTGAGTGCTGGGATTAAAGGCATGCGCCACTACCGCCCAGCCAAGGAGAGGCTTTCTATTTTCACAGTTTCGAGAGAAGGACTTCAGTAAGGGAGGAAGGTTTGGCAGTGATGGGTCTCCATAGTGGCAGGGGTTCGAGGGACGTGCAGCTCCTTGTACCTTGGGAGATCAGAAAGCCGGAAAAACTAAACAGGCACCAAGGCGAGGCTATGAACCTTAAAGATGCATCCCCAATAAGCCAGACAGAGTTTATATACTGCAAAACATTACTCCCCTCTAAGGACCAACTATTCAAACACATGAGTCTGAGAGGGGTATTTCTTGTTCAAACCACAGCTGAGGCAGCCCAGAGACCTATTTCTTCTTCAGAACCCATTTCATAGGTCCAAGGATACTGAGAAGCTCTACCAAACTCTATATGTGATCTGTTTTGTGCTCCATTTGTGAGACAGGGTCTCACTGCATATCCCTCATTATCTCGCTATATAAATCAGGCTAGCACCATCCTGGTAGAAATTCACTGCATTCTCCCAAGTTCTGAGTGTCAAGGCAGGTAAAAACCACCTCCAGCCATATACGTGGCTTTCTTGTTTTCAGCCAGAGTAGCACTGAATGTGTCGCCAGGTCTCTGGACATGCAGCAGAGAGGAGCAGGTGACAGACTTCTCAGAGACGGCCTTCCCAGAAGGACGCTCTTGAGAATGTGGCAGGATGAGAAGAGCGAAGAGCAGAGAGGCAGGCCGCGCATGCGCCTACCCATCAGGGAAGAACGAAGCTCTCCCGTCAGTCTGTAGCTGTCATTAAACGATCCCAGAGCACTGCCAAGTTCTCATTGAGTCTCAGAAAGAGTAAACTTAGAGTTATAGGGTAAAATCTGACATGGTAATAGTTTTGTTTTGTTTTGTTTTTAAAAAAAGAAGTATATTTTATTTTTTGAAAAAGAGCAGCATGGGGACTGGGGTTTGATTCAGTCAGTAAAATGCTTTTTATACAAGCATGACACCCTGAATCTGGGTCCAGAGCATGCATAGAAATGCCAGGCACAGAGACAGCAGCAGTGCCTGTAAAACACACACACATACACACACGGGGGGCGGGGGGCGGGGAGAGAAAGTCAAATGAGGCACTTATAAGGTGCCAAGTAAGTTCTGGGTCTACTCTATTGGATCTCAGAAATATTCTTACCAGAGGGCATTATGACTCTTTGGGATCAGGGAGGGAGTCTACACACAGTCTCTCTTCTTTTTGACCCTGATGCTCATGATTCTGTGTGGTTTTATGACCACATTTCAGTGTCCCTACCTGACACAGCAGTGCCTCACCTTAGGAGCCTACCATATTGAAGAAATGCAATCTGACTTCCAGTGATTTCTATAGTCCCAGCAGTTTTTACGCCCATGTTTTACAGACCCTGGCAAGTTCCAGGCGATGCATCTAGGCAAGCAAGAGCAATCTGGGGCAACAAGGCCATGGAGCTGGGATTCAGCCCTCCTAACATTTGCATCAATCCCTGCAACATCTCCAGGGTCCAGGATAAGAAAGACTTCCTGATTTGGGAAATATCCACAGAAACCTTCTTGCCCTAACCCTGTTCCAGAAACCATTTTAAGGCTCACAGTTCCTCCAGACTTCTTTTGTTGCTGTAGCATTGATGTAGACGGTTACCTTCTATTAGAAAACCAGAATAACAATAGCACAAATAAGGACAGCTCCCTTTTCTTACTTACAGAGAGTGAAGGGATGATCCAAAACTCAGCATGGCTCACTGAGAACAAAGACACAAACTCCTAGTTTTGAGCGCAGTGTTTCCTTCTGCGTGATTTTGTTTTCAAGGTCACAGAATAGTCACTGGGCCTCCAGTCATCAAATGTTTATGTTGAGGTCAGGAAAAAGAAAGGAAGCTGAAAAAAAAAGCATAGAAAGAGCAGCCATGTATCTTTTTTTTAAAATAATCAGGAGCAAACTCTCTTCTGACATACCATCCGTCTCTGCAGTAGACTTCTTGCTCAAAACCAAGTCTTGCAGTTTCCAATAATATCAAGGGTGACTAGAAATGTATGTATTTGGTTTTCCTGCCTCTGTAACAAGGGAAAAAGACAAGGAGAATGTGGGGTTGCGTGAAGATTATTATTCAATAACATTGGCATGTCACACTCCACAGCCCAGAAAATTCGGAGCCTTTAAGAAACATCCATGCTCCCAGTTGCTTCCTTTCCCTGGCTCTCCTTATCCTCCTGTCGCTTCCTTCATTAAACCAAGCTCCTGTGGTACCCAGGTTTACCCAGGTGCATTCCAGAGACCACAGTGACTCTGCTGCTCAGGAAGGAGCCTGTGTTTCAAGAGACCTAATTAGATTTGGATTCTGTGTGGGACTCGCAATAGAATCTGGTAGACGTTCCCCAGCCTGGATTTCTTTAAAGCTGTCATTAGGCCACAGAGCAGATGCTGTTGCGGTCCCTGCTCTGTCTCACGGCTCTTTCTCTCCCCCTCCCCCAGAACTCTTCATAACTGATGATGAGCTCAAGAAAGTCCATGATTTTGAAGAGCAGTGCATAGAAGAGTATTTCAGAGAGAAGGACGACCGCTTCAACTCATCCAACGACGAGAGGATACGGGTGACATCAGAAAGGTGTGTTCCCTGGGCCCTGCCTGGCAGAGATGGGTCCTATGGCTGTTCATGGACCGGATAAATCTGTTCTCACATCTCCAAAACACAGACATCTTATCTGTACTGCCAAAGAGAACATGAACCTTCTGGAAGAAAAGATTGTTGCCCAATCAGTCCACAGACCAAACTTTTAGAAATATCCTGAGTTTTTCCAGGAGGCAGTGAAAGCTTCTGCCTGGGCAAAGTGCATTGGTGAGTCTAGGGCAGGTCTGGCTTGGACCAAAAACTAGAAAGTTTTGTCCCAGACATAAAGTAAAGAAGGCCCAACCCCACCTGAGGCTCCTCAACAGGTTTTTGCTTCCTTCTATAGACTATTGAGTACTCTTCTCCAGAAGAGAATAGCCCCATGCTTGGCTTATGTGGGTATTCCGTGTCATCCAGATAGGCAAGAGCATGGGTTCTGTCCACCAGTGAAAATAATGATTGGTATTTTACCAAGAACTACTTTTATTGTTTCTCTTTTATAGAGTAAATCTAAAAACAAAGACGTAAATGCATAATTTTCTACCCAGATTCACTTAGTACTTACCAAAGGGCTTTGAAAGCCAAGAGATCTATATAAAAAATATTCTGTACAAACATGAGTACCTGAGCTCATATCACAAGACAGGCATGGCCTCATGCACACCCGTAATTATGGTGGCCATGGTGCTGTCAGGGGTAGAGACAGTAGAATCATTGGGGCTTGCTTAATTTCAAAAATGCAAGCTCCAGGTTCACAGAGAAACCCTGCCCCACAAAAGTAAGCCACAACACACACATGACAGAATTTTTTGATATCTAACAGTTCTAGGTCTTGTGTCTCTCATGTGGCTCTAGGCTAATAAAACCATCATTCCAGTCTGGTATATTCATAATGCAGTTTATGGGGCTAGCTTCCAAAAGAACACTCAGAGAGTGTCCCAGAGAACTGGTGTAACCGCACTTTAGCTGTTTATACTATAAAGGCAGCCAGTAATAGCATAGACGACACAGTAGATCGGTAACTGCAGTCAGTGTGAATGGGACTTCAAAGATTTAAGAGACTCGTTTCTAATTTTCACGAGATGACACTTTGTGTGCCACATCAAAGATTCTTTATTAACTGTGTAGAAATCACATAAGATGCAATTTTTTTGGTCCCTTGCTCTTTCTTTAAAGAATGCAGAATATATACATAGATATAATTGCATATGCCAATGGGCGGTTGTAACCATAGGTACCAAGCCAACATTAATAAGATTTAAAGCTCTGCACAGGTTTTATTCACATCTGCCACTACAAAACAGAGAGATTTATGATATGCTGTAAAGTAGTTCCCTGGCAAACAGAGGGAGGAACTGAAATTCCAAAGCGCTCTCATTCTGAGGCCTTGGAAAGCTGCTCATGAATGGACATACAGCCGCGTGCTTCCAGAAAATTGTGCCATGTGGGAATATTACCATAGCTGAGACACATTTCCTCAGCGTATGTCTTCGGGCCTTTGAAATGCTTTCTGAATTCAGAAATACATAGGCCTAGGAGGCAAGAAAGGCAGGAAGGGAAAGGCATAGTAAGATGCCAGGAAGGCTTTGCCTCTCTGAGGAACTAGAATGAAGAGGACCGGATGCCAGCACGCATGAGTATACTGTGACCAAGTCAATAACTCCTTCTGGAAACCCAGCAGGGAACCAGAGTCTCCCACTCCATGTCAGCAAGCCCTGCAGGACTACTCCCTCCCTTGATCTGCCAAGGGTGGCTTCTCAGAGTGTGAGCGAGGTGAGAAGGTGCCAGGGATGCAGAACGAAGGAGAAGCCTCCTGTCTTCTTGGTCCAGGCCTCAAGAATCAGAAAACGCAGGGCCACAAGCCCAGTCCCCATTCTGCTTCTATGGCTTCTACTTGCTTTAGAGTTTAACTGTCGTTATTGTTGGGTTCTTTTCATTTTTAAGAAAACCAAAAACTAGCATCTTCCAACAATGGGATGGTATGTAAGCACAACAGAAATGTCTCGGGGTGCTTTGGGAGCCTACCAAAAGACCACGGCATCTGTACTGGGTGCCTCAGTATCCTCCAGGATATGTCTGTTCTGAGTGCAGAGGCAGTTGGTATCTCCTGCCTTATTCACAGCCTCTTGACAGAGACAGAGAGAGAGAGAGAGAGAGAGAGAGAGAGAGAGAGAGAGAGAGAGCTGGGAAAGAGGTCTGCACATATGTGTGTCTGTGAGTAGACACATTGGTATGGATGCTGATGGCTGCGTTTCACTACTGATTGTACACAGTCCGTACAACAGAGAATATTATATAACTGTACCTTTGTGTTATACAACCTGAGCGCAGGGATCTGAAATCAGAACTAAGAGCTTGTTCTCTTTTCATGGGCATGCGCCACCTCTCATCTCCCCTGTACCCTGTTGTCATCGACTTCATCTGAAATGAACCACTCTCTATCTGGAGATGGGACGGGAAACTAAAGTCAGGTTACTGTCTAGATAAGATCGCAGTTTTCACAATGACCTCTTTTCTTTGGGTAACTTGGTCACTGTGTGTGTATTCCTTGGGGCCACAATCACTGACTGAAAGTTCTTGGCAGGGTCTGTGTGTGCACACATATGTGGAGGTCAGTGGACAAGTTGCAGGTCTAGGTTCTCTCTTCTACCATGCACATCCAGGGATCAAACTCGGACCAGCAGACTTGGTGGCAAGTGTCTTTACCTATTGCACCATCTCACTGCTCCCAAACTTTTCAAGGAAAAAAAAAGAAGAATAAGTTTAAAGGAAGCTGTCTTGTTATAGAACAAACATAAAGTAAATTTGGCTCTAGGTCCTTTTTAGATTTTAGCTTCCACATTAAGCGCCTTGCAGCTAGTTCCATGTTCTCATCAATAGACTATTGGGTGATTAGATGGTTAATCACCCTCAGAGTGGTAGATGGAAATGGGTTAACATGAGCTCTTTCTGTCTTCTACAAGACTTAATACACCAACTACACAGGAGTGCAGAGAAGTGGTGAAAATTGGTTAAGACTAATTCTTGACCAGGTTAGGTGTGCCATGCCTTGAATCCCAGCACTCAAGAGGCAGAAGTAGGCAGTGCCTGCTCTATAAGCAAGTTCCAAGACAGCCAGAGCTATAGAGAGACTCTGTATGTATGTATATGAGGCCCTGAATGTATATATTTGTGTGAATGTATATATGTATATATATGAGTGTTATATGCGTATATGCATACACACATATGTATGTATATGTGTGTGTGTGTGTGTGTGTATATATATATATATATATATGCATGTATTTTTTTCAGCCCCTTTGCAACTGGTTTCCAGCTCTAGCTCGATTTTCTTAGGGCTCCCATCAGAACTTTCCTAGTGTACCTGAAGGGCCTCTCCCTCTGTACCCCAGCTTCTTTTTCACTCTCCCTGGGTTCCCAGTCTGGGTCCAGCTGACCTCCCTCCTTAGGCCTCAACCCTCTGACTCTCTCTTGCTCCTTTTCTCTGTGATACAGAACCCTAAGCCATAGGGCAGTAAACAAAGGGGCCCCACAATCCAGGCTATGACCAGACATTTCTCAGCCCTTAGAGCAGTGTAGGAGTATCACTGGGAGATAACTCCAGTCTGTGCAACACAGAGACCCCTTTTCAAAATTACTACCAAAGCTAAAGAAAATCTCTATTTGATCATTTCCAAAATGTCTTTGGACACAAACATATTCAGATTCTGTAATCCTAGGTTAGGGCAGGAATGTCACTCTCTCCCTTTCAGTCCCGTTCTTTACTTATAACCCCTCCCCATTCTCCCCTTCAGCCCCTCCATTACCCATAACCCCTCCACGTTCTCCACTTTAGCCCCTTCCTTTACCTATAACCCCTCCACTTTCTCCACTTCAGCCCCCCCCACTTGACCCAAACCCCCACCCCACTGATTCCCTCTTGTAGCAGAGCACAGCTTTGCCATCTTCTAGCCTTACCCTCTAACTCCCCCAGCAGAGGATCCCGACCCAGGTGACTCTTACTCTCTGCTTCTCGGTACAGGGTGGAGAACATGTCCATGAGGTTGGAGGAAGTTAACGAGCGAGAACACTCCATGAAGGCGTCGCTCCAGACCGTGGACATCCGACTGGCTCAACTGGAGGACCTCATCGGACGCATGGCCACAGCCCTGGAGCGCCTGACGGGTCTGGAGAGGGCGGAATCCAACAAGATCCGCTCAAGAACCTCCTCAGACTGCACAGATGCAGCCTACATCGTCCGCCAGAGCAGCTTCAATAGCCAGGAGGGAAACACCTTCAAACTTCAAGAGAGTATAGACCCTGCAGGTGAGGAGACCATATCCCCAACTTCTCCAACCTTAATGCCCCGTATGCGAAGCCATTCTTTCTATTCGGTCAATGTGAAAGAGAAAGGTGGGCTAGAAAAGCTGGAAAGCATTTTCAAAGAAAGGTCCCTGAGCTTACACCGAGCTACTAGCTCCCACTCAGTAGCAAAAGAACCCAAAGCTCCTGCAGCCCCTGCAAACACCTTGGCCATTGTTCCGGACTCCAGAAGACCCTCTTCATGCATAGACATCTATGTCTCTGCCATGGATGAGCTCCACTGTGATATAGACCCTCTGGATAGTTCCATGAACATCCTGGGGCTGGGCGAGCCAAGCTTTTCAACTCTAGCGCCTTCCACAGCCCCTTCAAGTAGTGCCTATGCAACCCTCGCACCGACAGACCGACCTCCAAGCAGGAGCATTGATTTTGAAGACCTCACCTCCATGGACACTCGATCTTTTTCTTCAGACTATACCCACCTCCCAGAATGCCAAAACCCCTGGGACACAGACCCTCCAATGTACCACACCATCGAGCGTTCCAAGAGTAGCCGCTACCTAGCAGCTGCACCCTTTCTCCTAGAAGAGGCCCCCATTGTAAAATCCCATAGCTTTATGTTTTCTCCTTCAAGGAGTTACTATGCTAACTTTGGGGTGCCCGTGAAAACAGCAGAATACACAAGTATTACCGACTGTATCGACACAAGATGTGTCAATGCCCCTCAAGCGATTGCTGACAGAGCCACCTTCCCTGGTGGTCTCGGAGACAAAGCAGAGGACTTATCTTGTTGCCACCCTGAGCGAGAGGCAGAGCTCAGCCATCCTAGCTCTGACAGTGAGGAAAATGAGGGCAGAGGCCGGAGAGCTGCCAATCCGATCTCCTCTCAGGAGGCTGAAAATGCAGACAGAACCCTATCCAACAACATCACAGTTCCCAAGATAGAGCGCGCTAACAGCTACTCAGCAGAGGAGCCAAGTGCGCCATATGCACATACCAGGAAGAGTTTCTCCATCAGTGACAAGCTTGATAGACAGAGGAACACCTCAAGCCTACGAAATCCCTTCCAGAGAAGTAAGTCCTCCAAGCCGGAGGGCCGAGGGGACAGCCTATCCATGAGGAGATTGTCTAGAACATCAGCTTTTCACAGCTTTGAGAGCAAGCACAACTAAACCTTCTTAACGTGTGTTGCAGGAGGCTCGAGAATCCAGCACTAAAACTCTCCCCATGTCCACCTTGTCCCCCCACTTCCTTGAGTTATATCCGCTTTACTCTTAGCTGAGCAAAACATTGCCTTGGGAGATGTTAACTCAAAGGTAACCTCTGGGCCACAGGTCAAGCAAGCATTCCGTCTGGCCCAGTGCCAAACACAGGGTTTTCTGGCATGTTGACACTTGTTGGGAAGGGAGGGGAAAAGAGGACGGAAAGGGTTTAGAGATGAATGCGTATCACCAGGCACCACAGAAAGCCACGAGCTCTGGGGAACGAGCTCAAGCATTCTCCATGCCAGCAGGCATCTTGGGACTTCTGCCCTGTTACCAAGAGTTGAGGAGACAGGGCTAAAATTACAAAATAAGATAAAATAGCCAGCATGCAAGATGAGATATTCTAAACTTCCATTCTGTTTTCTTTTCACATTGGTTCCATCACTGGTGACTGATGAAGAACATCCCTTTTATTCAGTATAAGCCGGCAGCAAGCAGTTCTACCTAACGTCCCACATCCTTCTCATGCCAACACTTCTGTAATTGGTCATTATAAAGAAAAACAAGGTAACAGTCATATATACAGTTCGCCTGTCTCTTATATATTCACTTCTGGTGCCACAACTGTTTATCTCTTTAGAAGAAATAAGGGAACAGAATTGCCTTTTTTTGTCCTTTTTGTCTTGCAATCGAAATGAAAGAAGAGTTGATGTTGAAAGCAAGAGTGATATGATTTATAATATGCCATGGGCAACCAAGTGTATAGTCAAGCAAGCTCAGGACGAATGTAACCAGATAATTTTATATTTGTAAGTTATTTTGTATCTCACCTGTCATCAGTGAATTCACTCATCCAATATGTAATATTGAACTTTAAGAAAAACAGCAATGGGAAGAACTAACATTACGTTGTCGCGGGGGATGTTGTTACAGTCACACCATCCATAGTGTGTCATGCTGCTGTGTGGCCTTCTTCATTTGCATGTCTCCACTATGTCCTCCGAGCACCTTCAAGATGTTACTGCCAAATTCCCACACCACTCATCACATGACCATTTTGTATTTGAACACATGGTTATATGTGGATATTTTCATACCTAGAATTTAGCCATCGAATCTGGGCTCAGCATAAACTTAATCGGAGTTTCTCAAGGGCTGGTATCATTTTTATGGAAATGTTCCAAAGTACTTTTGTTTTGTTTTGCTTTTTTCCAAGACAGGGTTTCTTGTTTGTAACAGCTCTGACTGTCCTGAAACTCACTTTGTAGTCCAGGCTGGTCTCGAACTCACAGAGATCTGCCTGCCCCTGCCTCCCTAGTGCTGGGATTAAAGGTTTGTGCCACCGCTGCCTGGCCCCAAAGTGTTTTTTAAGGAAGTTTAAAAACCATAAATAATCTTAGACTTGACTGGGGGCTTGACATCTACCCAAAGCCATCAGTTGCAGGCAGACCATGAATATGTTTATTTACAAAGTTATAAAAAAGGTGTAGTAGGCCAAAAGAGAAAGCAAATATAGCTTATGCATAATTCTATAGTTTATGCTGTTTATGTATACACACACATGCACAGATACATGTTTATATACAGTAATAAAGCAGACAGAGAAATTTCTTAACAGGCTTGACTTCCTGTCATCTGAAGGTATAGCCAAGATTATTTTTTAATATTGAAGAAGCTTCACTGGAAAAAGTTTCACTGTGCTATTGGACCCACTGCTGAAATTACAATTTTTAAAAAGTCTCTGCCTTTTTAATCTTTTCTTACACTGAACAAGAACTGTCAAAGTGGTTCACCCTTGCCCTCTGCCTCCTCCTGTTTGGAAGCACGCACTATCGTGACATCTCTTTCACTCTGGTTTCTCTGGCAGGAAGCTATTACCACCAAATACAATCGGAATAGATGTGTGATTCCAAGCTAGTTTGTATTACACAGTCTAGAATGGAGGCATAAGTTTCTAAACTAGAAGCTAGATTTGAAGTGGAATAAGAAAATCTCGACCACAAAACTTTGGATTCCTATTTGGATCACTGAATATTTTAAAATAATAAAGTCTTTAAGAAAACTAATTTGGAGCCAGGAGTAGTGGTGATACACACCTGTGATCCCGGTACTTGGAGAGATGAGGCAGGAGGATGAGGAATTCAAAGTCAACCTCTGCTACACATCAAGGTCAAGGCCAATCTGGACTACATGAGACCCTGTCAAGAAAAAGGAAAAAAAGAAAAGAAAACATAAAAAGAAAAATATTCTGAGGCTAGGGCTGGGGCTCACTTCCTTAGCATACTCAAGGCCCTGTGTTCCATACCCAGTGGGGGGTGGGGGGGAGAGAAGGAGGAGGAAGGGAGAGAGGAAAAACAGAAACATGATTCATGTCCCTGGCCCCAGATGCTCTCTGGTTCTTTTAACCATTTATCTCATTTGGTGACATCAAGTCAATCCCTCACAAAACCTCTAGCCATATATATGGAACCAAGCTTAAGGAACCAAGCTTTTCATCCTAAAACAAGTGGCAAGCTCACATACTTGTAGAATCAGTTTTCATCCTTGGTATTTCGGTAACACCCAACCTCTTCGTTGAAAACTATGCTGGAGACACATCCTTATTGATCTCTCTCCCAACAGACATGCATTGAATCCCAGAGTAAATCATTTGACTCTAAGCTTCCTTGAGCCATGAGTCCCTGTGAGCACCTCACGGAAACTTTGAGCCCTGTCACACACACACCCCCAATTCACATCCATGTGAAGCTGCAATGTAACTTTCAGGGGTTCATGACTCCCCTGTTTCCACGGTGGCTGATGAAGAGAGAGACCACGTTCATTAGCAGCCAAGCTGAAACAGGCACCAAACACTTTTAGACCATTTCCCTGTGACTCTTTGGAAGGCCATGTCCCTGCGCTTCTGTCCCTTAGAGTAGATACGGTTAGCTGGATGTGGTTGGGCCACTTCCATGACTTTGATTAGCAAGGATTCTCAAAGGCAGAGACTGAGGGAATCCATGGAGAAGTCCAAGAAAATGAGTTTGTCATCTGTGACCACAGGGCAGGTGCCAAGCACTGTGGGGCCTGGCTTGGGACCTCACTGGAAGCAAGGGAGAGAAAGGACAAGCCTGAGTGTCTCTGTTGGTTGTGACCACCTGAGAGAAAGAACGTGACTTGGGAAAGGAAACACTTAACAGTCCTGAGCTTTTGTTCTGCATGAAAATTAAGTGCTAGCCTCCTTGGTGAAGTGTGTAGAATCTCTAAGCCAAATGTCAACAACTTCAGACACAAACTGTGTAGGCCTCATAAGCCATCTCTTTCCTGTACGTGTGTGTGTGTGTGTGTGTGTGTGTGTGTGTGTGTGTGTGTGTGTGTTCTTTTCAGTCCCATCTCCTTCCATGTCTGGGTTCTCTGCACCAGTGTGGCATCGATTCTGTGGCCTTGTACAGACTGCTTGTGTTCAGCTCATCCGTCCCACCATGTCCCTGATGGAGGGGACCTTGATTACCTGCCTCGTGAATTAAGCAGCTCATGAGCAGCCGGTCATTGAAGACCATACATACTTAAAGTCATAGAGGGCTCAAGAAAGAGATAGCATATTTAATCGTCTGCTTCATAGGTGCCAATTTTTATATACTGCAATGTGTAATGATTTGTTCTAAATTGCTTGCTTGTTCCTTTTGGGGAAGAAATGATGGATGTTTTATAAAAAAAATGGCCATATTTTATATTTACAGTTAGAAACTGATAGATTTGAATGGAGTGCTAGAACGCAAGAGGATAGTTGTCGTGGCCAGTTTGTGTTTCTGCAAGTCAAAGGAGGACAGTCAGAGTGCGGCACTTTATAGACCTGGGTGTTTCTTTAATGTCGAAGCTTCCAGGGCCAGCTAATACTTAGCACTTTGAAAGTTCCCCCTTTGGAAAAAACAATATATATACATATGCCAGAATAATGAAATGGGGGGAGGGGCACTTGTGAAAACACAAAATGTGTTTCTTCTGAATGTTACAAATGTATTTTCAAATCCGGTTTCTATAGATAACATTATGGTAGATCACTGGATAGTACGTTTCTTTTCGTCTTCCTGCAGCTGTACAGTCTAATCTCCCTGGGTGTTTGGGATGTTTGATTTCCTTAAAGGCAATATTATCCAGTTATCCATCATGCTCTATCTATAGGCTCTGACATGTGACATGTTGGGCGATGCTGTATTATAAAACACATGTAAACCTATCTGTAACCTGTGTTTAACCCAGCATAGTTGTAGCATGTGGTTGTATTAATGAACGTCGCAGGACCGCTTTCTACTCATTTATAAACCTGTAACATTCAATAAAGAAGCACATGAGCAAGGATTGATGACGTTCCCATTTCCATGTTATTTGGCAGCTTCTGGCAATGGGCGTTTTTGTTCCTGGTCTTCATTATGTTGCCCATACTCCTCAGACTACTGTAAAATGTTTGTGTAAGCTGATGGCCATCCTCTACCAGGTCCCGCTAGCTGTGAGAGGCAGGGTATGGTTGTGTGATGGACAAGCTGCCATGTTATGCAAAATACTATATAACCAATGAACTTAAATATTTTAAACTCCAGTTGAATCGGCTGTTTGTTTACGTCTGCTGACCCCGTGTGGAAGCCGTATACAGTATTTGGTAAATACGTTCATTCAGTAGCGCTGTCTGTTCTAGATAAAGTGATGCTAACGTTTAGGCGGCTGTATACTTGTAGGCCTAGATGTTGCGTTCAACCCGCTAATCCTTCCAATAGCGATGTGACTTGACTGAAGTAACCCCTCTCCAAACTAAGTCTTAATGTTGCACCAGCACAACGCATGCTGTGCTTTATGCACCAGTCTTGACTCTGTTTAGCGTACTTAACGTTTTACTCTTGTCTGCTGCAGTGCTTAAGACAGTTAGGGGCCCAAGCAAACTGTTGGGCTTCTTTAACTGCAGCTTCTTTCTGGTTTCAGAAATTAAACCAAGTAATCAAGGCTTCCTTTTGTTTCAAGTTTGTACAGCTCTGAACAAATAATATAGCTAGAGTATCCCCTGCAAGTCGCAATAGCTAGGGCCCCAGAGATGGCAAAGCAGCACCACTTTGGAGTCCCAGGGTCTAGGTGCCGGGGCATCTGTGGCATGAAAGACATGCCTTGGATTCTTTAGAGCTTCCTAGGTGCAAATTGCTCAACCAGAGATGAAAGCCAAGGGTCCATGGTGGCAGGACAGGAATGCATGGACGCTATGGGTGAATGGTCCCACGCTAGTGGACGAGGACCCCCCCCTTGTCCTGTGCCTTTCACACCCATGGGGGAGCTGGGTCCAGAGGTGGGAACGGGCAATTGCTTGATGAAGCATCAGGTGACTCCAAAGAGTTTATTCTTTAAAGAAGTCGCGGTTCCATGGTTACAAGCCATTCAACATCTGGAAAGGGATGGATCCAACTTGCACAGTCAAAATGCTCCCAAAATGAGCAGGGAAACCTTTTCTCTCCACCAGCTTTGCCCTGTGCTGTCTCTTGTGTCTACGAGTCAAGCATTCTGTCTCTCAGATTAGAGTCAATAAAAGAAGGGGTTGGCTCTGATTAAAAAAGAACAACTTTTTCTTCTCTTTTTCAAATTAATTTCAGAGAGTGTTAATGTCTCCTTTGCTCTCATGATCTCTTTGCACTGATTACCCCTAATAAAAGCCAAGATATTCTGATTTCTGTGTGTCATCTAAGAGGGGATGGAGGTGACCAAGTCACCCGGATTAATCAAAAGAAGCGGTTTGTTTCCTAACTTTCCTGGAATAACTGGCCACCTTCTGCTGGCAGCACATGGATCCCTGCACTGGCAGTGGGTTTGGAAACTGAAACAATGGACATCTATGTAGATGCCCATAGATTGGTGGGCATCAGTGCCAGCCATGACTCCAGCCTCTGGGGGGAGGCAGATTCCTGAAGAATGTGAGGCACAGGGTGAAATCAGCCTTGGGCCTGGGGTTGCAGTCTTTTTTTTTTTTTTGTTCCCTTTTCTTTCCTTTTCTTTAGTCTAAAGTCTAAAGCTAGCTCCTTTTTTTTTCTATGTGTGTGAGACCAACAGACTCATCCATTACCTCATATGGACCCCCAAACAGTAACCCCAAACATTGACTACATGGGAAAAGCCAGATGTTCTGAATTTGTCCCGGGTCTGGGCTCCCAGCTGACTTCACCTCCTCCCTCCATACATGTTCCTAACGTGGCTACTGTGACATCTGTCACAGCTGAATCTGAATCGCCTGTCTGAATCCTGCAAGGCCCTCTACATCTCTACCCAGTCACCTGCCTCTCCATGAAGGGATGACAAATTCAATCCAAGACCCAGATCTAGAACACAAAAGAATGGGCCTAGGAAAGACAATGCAAGCAAAATCTGTTGACCATGAAAACATGTATGTCCCAACAGAAAGATTCAGATGTGGGCTTTCAAGCCCTGTGCTAGCCTCCCAGGTGTCTGCAGCACGATTCTCAATGGCCATGTCAGGGGGCCTCTGATTTGAAGCCAAGCGGGGCCTGATCTATGACTCTCACACAGAGCAAACACATCAAATACACTCAAGAACTTCAAGTTGGGAGAGGCAGTTCACGCTATTTGGGGTGACTCGTAGAGAACTTCCATGGATGTTGAGAGCATGTTTCACTGGATCCAAACACAGGACCAGTGTGAGGGAGACTATGAGGAAGGATGTTGTAGCATGTGAAGACTTAACCTGCTTCCTGTCACTGGAGTATCTCACCTGAGTTTCTCTTGCTGCTCCCACCGTGGAAGTCAGCCCGTGTCGTCAGTACACTACACTCATGGTCATTTCCTAATATAGCACTTAGACTGTCGCTTGTCAATGAGTTGATTCTAGTTTACAATGGGGGGAATTATTCAGACACCATTTTTAAATGAATTCCTATAAATACAATGATTTTCAAGTTGGGTTTACTAAACATACATACATCTTTTCTTCCTTTCATGTATGATAGAAAGAGGTTTGCATATCTACTGACACTGGATATATATATATATATATATATATATATATATATATCCAGAGGCATTGTTCTTTTTTAACGGTCTGTTATTGGATTCACAATGCACTTTGAGCTTGTCTGTTTAGATCTATAATTTGAAGCAGAAGTTGGCAGATGCTACAGGCAAAGAACTTTCTGGAATTTCTGTAACAATTGTTTTGCAATAAAAAAAATACAAATGGTTTAAAACATGACTCAGACTTTCTTGTACATTTATGTGTCTCTACCTGCTCGCCACCATTCTCATGCTAAAGCTCCTGGTGATTGCTAGGGAATCACTGCCCAGAACTGTATGAATTACTCATTTTGGAAAAACAGAAGTTACAAACTGTTCAACTATGGGGTGTGTTCACCAGCAAAGAATGGATATTATAGGTCAATGCGGTGTGTGTGTTTCTTTTTAATTTGAAACCATTTTCAAATTGACAGATATCACATCTAATTCTATGTTTCTGGTACTTCCTAAGAAATGTGAAAATCTGACCATAATAGACTTATCCTATTCCCACCCAACCGAACAAAATCGTGTCCGTTCAATGGGAGTTCAGATTCTCCAGTCCTCCACAGTTCCCACTGCTCCCTCCTGTCCCTTATCTGATGTCCTTCCCTTGCTGAAATTTCCTGGAAAGCCCCTAGAAGCCCTGGAACTTCAGGACTAAAGGATGTGAAAGAGTAGTGGCAAGTTTAGAATACTGAACTAGAAAAGACTCAGGGTAGCAATTTGTTAGGGGAATAAAGAATAAGAAGAACTTGTCTTTGTCCTAAAAAATGTAGAACAACTATGTCTTCATTATCCCATTTAAAGCATATTATGAAAATTTTCCAATAGACTGGTTTACAGGTCTGACTGTATATTCCATTAAGAAGGACAAGCAAAAGCCTTGCCTTTATAAATCTTTTAATTTTTAAAAGCATAGACAGAGAAATTACAAAATATATATGCATTCATTCATTTATTAGACAGCCTCATTTTGTTTTATAGACTGGTCTAGAACTCTTGGACTTGAACAATCCTCCTGCCTCAGCCTTCCAGTTAGAAATGACCACAAGTGCATACTGTGGTGCCTAGTTATTCCTTCAATGAAAAAGAATTGTGCCCCAAAAGATACCAAGATGAGGGTCTGTAGAGATGGCTCAGAGGTTAAGAGCTTTGCCTGCTCTTCCAAAGGTCCTGAGTTCAATTCACAGCAACCACATGGTGGCTCACAACCATCTGGAATGGGCTCTGGTGCCCTCTTCTGGCCTGCAGGCATACATGCAGACAGAATATTGTATACATAAAATAAATAAATATTTTTTAAAAAGATACCAAGATGAATAAAGTAAACTAAGCCCCTGTGCTTGTGCAGCATCACACTCAGCTGTCCTGAGAGTGAGATCATATCATTATCATTTAGTTGCCCAAAGAATAAAGCATGAAAAAACCAGTCTAGAGATTTAGAGGAGTTGCGCTCTATGGCTCAGGAGAAATGTTCTGCATTGGACTGAACCCGCCTACTCATTTCTTTGTAATGGAATGGTTGACACCATTTTCTGAAAGCAACTTGTTATGTATGCTCTTCAGTGCATATAGCTGCCATAACACACATGGCATTCAATAAAGTGCCCTGGAAACCCCCCAATATAGACAGGCACGCTTCGTCCTTGGATGAGACACCAACACAAGTGAGAAAAATAAATTCTGTAGAAATAATTATCATTACATTTTGCTCATGTTACCTCATTTAACTGAAATACAGAAAAACTGATCTAGCCATAAAAGGAAGGTCTTTGGTAATCACATCCTTATCACTGGGATTTTTAGTAATTACTTTTTTTTAACCTTTCTAAGTCACTGGGTATTTGACTTTTACTCAAACATTCAGCTCATCACAATGGTAAAGCTTAATCCATTTCCTTAAAGCTTTATTATGGTCATAATCTTTCCATATGTTTTTGGGATAGTGACTAGTGATGCCCAGTTATCTTAGATTGTCACTTGAGATCAGAGTATTGCTCTAATCTTCTCTGTCTCATTTGTTAAAGTTAGATATATCAGTTTTCTAGAACTTTCTTAACAAAGTAGCATAAACTTGGAAACTTAACAGAAATTTATCATCTCAAATTTCTGGAGATTTTTTAGTCCAAAATAAAAAATTTGTTCCCTTCACATGGTCTTGCCTGCTTTGCAGTGTTTTCTGACACTCACTGGAATCCCTTGACTTATAAAAGCATCACCCTGTGCTCTACCTTCATGTCCCATGATGTCACATGATGTTCCCCACATATTGTCTCCAACTTTCTCCTTTTTACGAGAATACAAATCCTACTCTATTAGCCCCACCACTACCCTGCACCTTTACTCATTCTGCCTACAATGATCTTTTTTCCCTAATAAGGTCATATCTGAAGTATTCAGGGCTAGGATATCCACACGTGATACAAAATCAAATGGTAATGGTGAGTAAATTTGTACATAGGTTTACAGAGGCCATTGGTCTTTCTTGTGTCTTTTAAGATAAAGAAATCAAATTCAAGAACAAATCCAAAACCATTTATGGGTTAACCAAAAGGAAAAAATGATAAATCAGTTATGCCAACCAAGAAATTATTCAAACTTTTATTAAAACTTATATAAAAATTTACGTCTTCATGTATCTCTATAAAAGACAATATGGGAACATGGAGATGGTTCAGTAAGTATGCCACACAAGCTTGACAATCTCAGTTCAATCCACAGAACCATACACAAACAGAAGGAGAGAGCCATCCCCTGAAAGTGTGCCTCCGACCTCCACAAATATGCCAGGGCATATAAAACCCACATTTTCATACATGCCATACACATGAACAGTAAGAAACATTTTTTTAAGGAGCTACACAGTGAGTTTGAGGCCAGCCTAAGTGATATAGTAAGACCCTGCTTTAAAACTAAAAATGCATTCCAGTATCGTGGCTCATACTAGTAATCCCAGAACTTGGGAGACCGAAACAGAAGGACTGGCATAAATGTGAGGCCAGCTTGGGCAACTGTCTTAAGAAATGCTGCTAGGCGTGGTGACACACGCCTTTATCCCAGCACCCAGAAGAAAGAAGCAGGTGGGTCTCTGTGAGTTCGAGAACAATTGGGTCTACATAGAATGTTCCTGGTAGTCAGAGATATATAGTGATGCCTAATCTTAAAATAGATAGATAGATAGATAGATAGATAGATAGATAGATGATTGATAGATAGATGATAGATAGATAGATAGATAGATAGATAGATGATAGATAGATAGATGATTGATAGATAGATGATAGATAGATAGATAGAGATAGATAGATGATGATAGTAGATAGATAAATAGGTAGATAGATAGATAGATAGATAGATAGATAGATAGATAGATGATAGACAGATAGAGATAGATAGATGATGATAGTAGATAGATAAATAGATAGATAGATGATAGATAGATAGATAGATAGATAGATAGATAGATAGATAGATGATAGACAGATAGATAGAGATAGATAGATGATGATAGTAGATAGATAGATAGATAGATAGATGATAGATAGATAGACAGACAGATAGACAGACAAAATAACAATAGTGATGATGCTAAGAATAATAATAACAATAAGTGCTGAATAAGCGGTAGTGGTAGTGATAGCTCAGTGGGAGAGCCCTTGACTAGTATGTACGGGCTCTGTGTTCATTCCCAAGATTCACATAACCACACGCACACACACAGACACACACATGCACATACGTGCACACACACATGTATGCATGCATGCACGCACACACACAAAATTAATACATTAGGAGACTATATAGTTTGGTACCAATTTCTATAAAATTCAAACTAGACATACAGATGGAGATATATTGGCATATAAGTCATGAAAAGACTGCAGAGATGCCTCAACACATAGTAAAAGTTTTATAATATAGTTTTTCCTTTTGAAAATGAATCAAAAGTAACCTAAAGCTGGGTAGTACACAACTTTAACTCCAGCACTCAGGAAGCAGAGGCAGGTGGATAGCTGTAAATTTCAGGTCAGCGTGCTCTACATAGTTCCAGGAAGCCAGGGCTACACAGAGAGACTGCCTCACAGAGGGAGAGGGAGAGAAACAGAAAGTGACCTAAGCAAAGTTGGGGGGCATAACAAGAGGCATTAACCTCAGTTAGGAGGTTTTTTCTTCACTGTCTTTGTGTTAATGGCCATTGTAGGCATCACCCAGAAATCATGAGGCTTCCAATGCGAGTCATCTCCTCCAACAAATGATATAGTTAGAAGAAAATGGGAGAAATTGGTGTAACTACTAATGTCATGAAATTATCATTTAAGGCATAAATATAATCAATGCCTTTTGAGCAGTTACTTTGTTCTCATGAAAGAACTGAAATTTTTATTAAAAAGGCAAGACAGTCACGACTAAAAAGATAATTGCATGTTTTCATTATTTAATTAGAGCTGTTGAAAAAAATGGGACCAAGCAGCCTAAGTATGGCTCATCAGCATTCAAAGCGCTCAAGTAGAAGCTAATGGCCCAGGGAAGGCAGTGCGTGGATGGTTTCCCATATTTAGGTAGAAAATTGGACTCCATATCCTATTCTGAGACTATAGAACGAGACTAGAAAGTCTTCAAAATTAAGAGAACAAACCCTCTAGCCTGGCAGAACCTAAAGGGATATATAAGACTAAAGACAACATAGGGCCAGATATTCCCAAGGCTAGAGCCCCAGGTAAAAACAAGATTCCACCATGAGAAAAAAACGAGACCAATTCCTTGGGAGCAATAGGAAGTCACCCTGCCCTGTGCAGAGGACTCAGCCCCGAGAGGGGCTGCTAAGTGCGGTGGCCCCTTCAATTTACCTAATTGTTTCAACACTTCTATGGTTATTATTTTGTCCTGGGTAGAGGAGAGGAGACTCACCATTCTATACATTAGTGGCAGGCTAGGGTTTGGACTTTATTCTGTGGCAGGAAGAAAGCAGCTGAAGAATTCTAAACAGGGCACGTGGCACATGACAGTGAGGTCCCTAGAGGAGCGAGGAGCAGTGGGGCCCATTGAAGGCCTGACTCTCTTGCAGGCAAAAGTGAAAGGAAGCTTCACAAGCCAACTTCATTAGCGTCCCTTGAATGCCTACTGTTTGACAGACACTAACTGAGTGTCACTACCCTCTATCAGAAACAGCACTC